TGCATTCCAACACTCCAGTCATAGGATCTTTTTTCTTGAGAGCTGGAAAGTAAAACTGAACACAAACTAATCCTTAATTTCCTGCCGTTTGACTTTAGACTTCCATGGACCACTCTGTTCTTCAATCTCATCCCTCACCTTTCTGCACTGGATAACCACATATGGTTTCTGCAGGCATCCACCAACCCTTTTTAAATAACAGAGATTCTTATTACAGAGGTAAAGGATCTCACCTCACGTAACAGGAAAAGGGGCTGTAACAAATGAAATGAGGACACAGTTTGTGTACAACTACCACTAAGACACTATTCCAACTCAATATTAGCAGTCCATTTTTGCTTATATAGAGAGCGCATTTTGCAAGGCAGACAATGACATAAATAAGCATAAAAGTAGTTACTTCCATGTTATTGAGATTCCCAAAAATGAATTATCTTGAGAAGGTCTATCTCCACAAAGCTGGATCTGACAACTTTCTTCTAAATCTCTAATTCACCTACTATCAGATAAATATCATCCAACCAATACCACTAGTAAAAATAAAAAATTAGAGCAATAAAGAAGAAACACCTACTGGGAGAAGAGTGTCACCCCCTCCACCCTTGCACATTCTGCCTACTGAGCTGTCTTTGAGATTAGCTGCCTGTTCTGCAAATGGTATCTCCAAATTGATGTCAGTGTCCGAAAATGGCATGTCTTCAAGCGGGCTCCTCTGCTCATCCGTTCCGAGACTGAACTTTGGGCCTGAAAACAGAGTGAAAAAACAAATTATCAACAGCAGCACAACTGAGCACCACTCACTGAATGAGAGTAAACTTGTAGAAAAACCATGTAGAAATTAATGCTGTGCAAGGGGTGGACTTTCTGGTTGCAAATTCACTGATTTCTGCATTTTTCATCTCATCTGAAAATTTAGCTTCTTACAAGGGCCTATCTTTTGTAGTTTTTCTTTAATAATTCTGCCAATGTATTTTTTTTTTCTTTTTACCTATTATGAAAAGATAAAGCAATCCACCTCAGACAAACAGCAGATTCCCAGGACCTTCCAGAGCCAAACAGCTTTGGCATCAGAAGTTTATTGCCATCAAACACTTTCCTGCCTCAAAGACTGTAACATTCAGCAAACAAACCAGCAATTCTTTCTGCTGTTAAAATTTCAAAAGCAAAAGAGAATATTTCCTCTATGATCCAAAGAATTAACATTTGGGAATAACAGGGAGTACACAGATCATGTCATTGTCCCAACATTCCTGTCCTCAACTCAGTCTGAAGAGCCTAGATTCCTCAGAACTGTTTGGACATGTTTCCTCGATACAGGGAAGGACTAAGTACACAACAATGACCTTACTTCTCTTTCTTTGTTCCTTAAAGGAATCAAACACTAGGCAAATTTAGAACATTTTTTTTTGTAAAAAAAAACCCAACAAACCAAAAAAAAAAAAAACACCCCACAACCACAGAAAAAAAGGGAGAGGCAGTTCTGCTTTCAGAAAAATAAGTCATCTAATTTCATAGGAAATCAACCACTGGTTTTTCAGTCTGAAGTTAAAACACATAATGAAAGAAGCAAGAGGAAAATTAGATTGTAAATAACACTATTTAATACAAAGCACAAAGATAATTTAGACAGATAAAGATTCTGATCTCTCCACCACCCCTCTCATTATATGGTACTTCTTAAAGGACACATCCAGGACTACATTCCTTGTACAGAACATTACAAGTACCTTGCAAGTATTTGTGATGAAATTCAGACTTTCTTAAAACCAGAACAAATCAATCCGGCTCATTTCAACGGGACCATGATTCTGCCACTGGCTGCTACTCACAGACAGCAGACCAGTGCAGCCTGTTCAAAGCTAACATACCATAAGCGCAGGAAAAGCTGGATGGAAATGGATGTGAGATAAGGAGAACCATGAGCAGTGCATATGCTTTGGTATAATAATATGTACCATAATAATTTCTTTACACTGCTGTGGGAAATTCTTGTATGGCCTGGAATTACTATGCTAAGTCAGGACTGAAAAAATTTCCCAGAAAATAGTTATAGCTACAGCAACATTTGACCTTGAAGCAGGGGAAAAACTGCAGATAGGCTGATTAACAGAGAAGGCATCAGGGATGTGCTGGTCTACACTGATACTTTCAGTGGTCTGCAAAAGAGCTGAGCTGCAAGCACACAACCCAAACAACATATGAAGCATCAAGTTTAAAAAAAAAAAATTACACACTTGAAAATTTTTCTGAATCATACCTGCACATAATTGAAAGACTATAGATACAACAAGACTAGTCTCTGATATTCTGTAGAGTGAGTCCTGAAAACTACCTCAGTCTGACAGGGCCAAACTCAGGGTACCTGATAGGCAAGTGTCTGCAGTCACCACAGCCACACTCTGGTAGGGCACAGAGCTTTATGCAACCAGTCACACTTCAGTGTCATTGATCTAGAGCTGAGACACTTCCAGAGAGAGGAGGTGGATCTGAGATAACACTTTGACTCTACTTACAACCACGCAATGCTGTGAGAAGTAGAATAAAACATTTCCAAATTTTGACAGTTGTGTGTGTTACTCACCACTTGCTCTTTCCAGAGTGGCTTCTGCTCGCTTTCCATAGACCCAGAAAGATGCCCGGGGCATACACTAAAGATTAAGCTGATCCTGAAACTAGAGCTGCTCCTTTAGGTAAAGAGATACACGAGACCTCGGTAACCAAACATACCCAAGGTCAAATTCATCCCTGTCTTCGATATTTAGCCTCCCTGTGTGTATATCTGTATACATCATGTAAACTATTTAATGCATCTGAACTAAAGGAAAACAGTTCCCCATCCCCTCAAGACTTTTGTCAAGCTAGTGTGGTCCATACGTGACCCACATACTTCCTATAGCCTGGGAGGGATCTGATGTTAACAAACAATAAAGCAGTAGCTCCTATTTCAATCCTCTGGTCATACGAAGGTGCCCTGCCGTGTAAAGCAGATGTCTTGGCAATGCTGTGCACATTTTAAAGGTCTGGAAATGCTGTTGCTGTGGAGAGTTTCTTCTTGGTCGTGTATAAGCCGTGCTCCTATTGTTGTGCATTCACTAACTAGGAAGCAGCTGTACGAGGAAGCAGCTTTGGTGTTCTGCCAGTCTGCCAACTGCAAGCAATATTTCATGAGAGAAATGCAAGTGTGATACAGAAAAATGTAAATATTGTCTAAAAGTATGTGGAAAACATATTTTACATTAGACCTGTTCCGTTTCCTTGGTTCCCCATGCTATTTAAAGATCACATAAAATGTGGTGGGAATTCTTCAGGAGTGGGGTTACATTTTGAGTTTCTTTTTAATAGGACATGGAAATATTGAAAGTGTCAACCTTGCTATTTCCTAATTTTACTAGAAAATCTAGAGTATACCGCAATGGAGCTATGCTGATAGATCTTAATCAATAAATTGAAAGGTAGCATGGCTGATTTTTTTCTGACTGACAACAGCATTTCTCTAAAATGATAATTGATAAATTATTTTAAATAGAAAATTAAAAACTTTGTAATGTTTTCACTAACACTTTATCACTCCAGCCATAGATTCCTCATTTATCATGTAAAATGAAATCAGAAACAAACTCTTTAACTAAAAAATACAACTACACCAAGAAGCAAATATTGTAGTATTTTCCTTCATGTTACACATAGTACACACAATTCTTTCATCCATTTCCCAGATCATTATGCTTTGAGGTTGTCTTTATACAGAGGTTTTATCTAACCTGTAGCTAATCCTGTGTGTTCAGGACAACTGTAGTCCCACAATAAACTGACATTTGCTGCTCCCCTATTTAAGCTAACTAGTATCTAGCTTTTCATCTGCTTTATTCTTTCCTATTTATTTTTTGAGATATTTACACAGATATTTACTCCTCTTCACAGGCATCCAAACAAAATTGTTTTTTCTCTTTGGTAGCTGTTAGATATTGCTAGCTTTGCAGGTCTTTAGTGAGTGTTATGGATTGTTGATATAATAATGTCTTTAGACAGCTTAAATATTTTTTTGTTTGTTTCCTGTAGATATGTTCTGTACCTACATGAAACAAAGAAGTACTTAAAGACAGTAAGTGAGGGTGCTTCCAAAAAGCTCAAATATGCATCTACCAACAAAAAAATCCTAGGAACTCATTAAACTGTCCTGTACGAGCAGGATCAGGCAGAAAAGAGTAAAAAAAGTAATGGTTTTGTATTATTCCCTGAGTTTGCTTACATTGTTTAGGCAAGAAAAAAGGTGTGTCAGACTGGCAAGAAAGAAGGAGTGAGCACAGGTTCATACAGCCCATGCATGCTCTAAGAGCAAACCACTATAATCTTCAGTCTGGCAGAAGCGCTTGGGAATGCAGCATTCAAATACAAAGTCAGGAACAGTCACCACCTTTGTAGAAAGGCCAGAGGCATTCACTCTAGCCATTTTAAGACATCTCAATTTAAGCTCTGAATTTTTTTTTATAGTATCGCAGATTATATTCATATTTTTCAGGTAAAATTAGTGCTACTTCTTTGTCAAAGGGGTTTTCCACTTTTATATAATGTCTTTGGATTTGTATTTCATAAATATTTAGTATCTCTGAAATATCAGGCATTGTTTATTTTTTGCTTTAAATTAATTCACTGTTTGTATAACACTAATTTGTTCATCATTCTGGAGCAAAGATCACAGCACAGCACTGAAACAGGTGCAGTGCTTTTAAAACCACCAAACTTACATGGTTTGACTGCAAGTTGAACTGATTTTTTCTTCCTGCTCCAGTCTTGGGAGCAGAGCCCACTTTAGCATGTTGACAAGAGCATAAGTGTATCAGGATGTAAGCATGCTGCATTTGCTATCCATATCACAATCTGTGCTGAGGAGAGCTAGCATATGGGATTTGCCTGTCAGAACTCCACATTTCTAAAGGGTTCATCAGGGCCACTGGAAAAAAAAAGAACCAGATGTGATAAAAACTTTGTAATAATTGCTTGGTAATTTTCCATCTCTGAATCCTACAGTGCAGTTTATTGACATAAGCACCAAGCATCTCTTCCTTCCCTTGTGCTGAACCAGCAGTCTGGCAGTCCTCCCAGTTTTTGACTGTTCTTACTGAAGTGAGGTTTGCTGAGAGGGAGGGAAGGAAGGGTTAACAGCACTTATGGAAATGCACAGATTTGGTGATATTCAGGGCTGGTTTATATCTCTTCCACTTCAACTTTCATGCACATCCTGTATTGTTTGTTGCTGTCTTCTAAGTCTAATTATAGATTAAGTAACTTGCAGTAGGGAACTTGATCTGCCTGCCTATTTAAGTGGCTATAGGGTTCAGAGTAACACCAATGCCCTATCAGGTCCTCTGTAAGAAGGAAAAAAAAAACAAAAACCAACATACAAACAATGCAGAATAGAAATGCAGCATCTTAAAGCTTAAATGGCTGCCAGTTAATATCTCGACCTCTACAGTGATGGGTACAGTGGTATAACAGACATGGTACAACCCCTACTTGAAAGAAACCTAAGATGATGCAGAGTAGCCACCCTTTTATTACTGGACATGAAGAACAGCAGAAAGCTTTTCAAAATCCTTCATACTCTCAAAACAGAAACTTAGAATCAGCTAAGGACTTCTATGATGCTCTGTCTCACCTGGCAGTGACAGGGAGGGGTCTTTTGAATTTCATTTTCTTTTGCTGAAAAGTTACTTGAAATATGGACCAATGTAGTAGTTTGTGTAGTTGAAAGCCTACAAAGCCAAAGTAAAAAAAACTATAGTAGTTTGGCATTACCTTGCATTTCATCTTGTGTTTCATTTCTGTTTTCACTTGTTCTCACAGTTGAGGGTTCACTTACATCACAGACCTAAGAAAGGAACAATAAATATACATGCCTATAAAAACCAAATGCATGGTTGTAGAAACTCCTTTGACTTTGTGCAGGATTAAAACACATACTGCTACAATTCAGAGGTATGCAGAGGCACACCTGTGTGTTTCAGTAGAAAACACTTTGCCAAGAGTCTAAGGGGACCTGAAATCTAGCTAATTAAAAAAAGAAGTAATTAAGTCCATTCTGCCTCTTCCTAAAAGGCTAAGTGGGCATAAGATTTAATTTTGCAGAGTTGCACAGTATGAGAAAATTTAGTCTTTGACCTGAAACCATGGTTTGCACTGGAAAGTATATGGGAAGGGAATCTGGAGGAGACATTTTGACTAACTCAGTCCAAATTCCTTCTTCTTGCAAAGTCTTTAATGGTTGCCTCCCCTACAGAACAATCCCATCCTTTTTGCAGAGCAGCCTAACATTAATATCTGTGCTTACAGCTTAGATTCCCAACAGCAAAACTAGGACCCTTTGAAGAGGCAACAAAACAGGAAAGGATTTTAACCATCTTCTCCTTTCTACAGTGCTGCATTACCCAGTCACAAATTTGTCACATTCCATGAACTGGATGACACCTACCGTAGCAAAAAAATTTCAGAACATGTAGAAAATCTATACACATATGCAAGTATTATTTTTATTATCTTTTCAGCAACTCAAATCAATATTGAATGTTTAGCACTCTGGATTTCCAGTTGTATTTTACTCAAGCGCTGTATAACTCTGTACTTCCTGAGAAAAATATTCAAGCCTTAAAGATTTCTCCTACCAACACAAATCTGTATATTTACTTTTTTAAAAAACCAGAGACCCTGAGAAGTGGAAGAAAATAGCATGACTGCCTAGAAAATTACTACTGTTTCACAGAGCAGTAGAAGTAGACTGGGAAGCTGTCAAGGTACCAAAAGTCCAGCTTCTCTTTGGGAATATGTCAGGAAATTTAGTAAAAGCATCAACACAATTGTTGCATTGATGAGAAACATCAACACTATTGTTTTACCTTTCCTCCTGCTTTCCTCCAGGTGAAAGGAGGTTACAGGACTTTCAGAGGCTATTAATAAACTGGAATGACTTCATACAGTTGCAGATGGTTTCAGTCCTCTTTTGTTACATAAAGAGTTTTCTAATGACGGGAGAGTAAAAAAGCACTGAGACAAGTTACCCAGAAAGGTTGTAGAAGCTACTTCACTACAGGTTTTATGTGACAGATCAGATGAACAAGCACAAGCAAATATTTCTGAATAATCATTCTTGCTTTGGAGAAAAGAATGTAGTATAGATTTGAGGGCCTATGCTTGTATTATTTTATTTCAGTCAAGGAGACAGGTTTAGAAGGATTTTTTTAAAGTTATTTTTACATTTAATAAATATTTTGACCTTCTGTTTCATACATCTTAAACGGTTACAATAATTTGTCTGTTTGCGTTACTTCTCACTGATGTCATCAATATCAAAACATGCAGTTTAAGAGACACAGAAGTCTACTGAACACTGTGACATATGATTTTCAAACATTACAATGTGTAGCTTAAATACAGGAACATGAGTATTTCTTGTGCATTACTGAAATAACATACTTGAAAGGCAAATTATACTACTTTAAGCTTATATGATATTTTTCCTAAATTGCTCTGCTATTAGATCTTGTAATTTTTAGGCGTAGTCAACTCCAAATCAGATCCCAGAAAGCTTTTATAGCATTAATATCCTTTCTGCAACCACGTGCAAAATGGAATAGTGAAAGGAAACTTGTGCCTCCAGAACATACACTTGAGCTTACAAATTCTCCCCACTACATTTCACCTCTAATGGATTTGAAAGGAGTTGCTGAAGAAGAGGAAGCCGTTGGGGGAAGGAGGAAGCTAAATTCCCTCAATATTTGCCATGCTTTCCACCACCGCTACCACTGTGCTGAACAGCAGCAGCGCGCAGTGAGAACGAGGGACGGGGCTGAGGTCAGATAAGCTAGCCATGCTCTTCCATCATGTCAAGAGTCTTCCTACAGCTGAAGATCTCGTTGTTTTTGGGGTAGTAGACCGGACACATATGCTTCTTCACAGAAGAGGAATTCTAATCATAGTCTCCATTTTCCTCCTTCCCCTTTCCTGCCTGTGGGAGAGGAACTCTCCTGTTTGATACCCCACGAGAGGAAACTGGGCCCCTTCAGGACTTGTCAGAGTAACTTCCCACACACACAGGCCCTGGGAGCTAGTGCGAGGTCTAAGCTCCCAGCTGACAGGCACAAAGACCTAGCCAAAATAGAGGACGTTAGGTTGATGTCCCTTTTTTTAAAAAAAAAGAATCAAGAGGACTAGTAAGTAAGAGGTGCTGCCTCCTATCTCGCAGACTCCTCAGGATGGCTGCAGGGCACTACCATCCAAAGACAGAAGTGGACTTTCAGTAGCTTTTTGGGTGATTGTTGCCATGAGCTTTGCATCTGTGTTAAAATTAATTCAGATTAATATCTTAACCATGGAGTGGTTGTTTTATTCATGACGTTTAAGTAATATAAGGCCAATATACATACTTCTTTCTACATACTAAAATTGCTTAATGCAATGGCAAGTCTGGACCAATGCTATTCCCATAAATTCAGTAAAAAATTCCCTTGGAAATCAGTGAAAATTAGACACAAATCTTCTGGAAATGTCCCTTTCATGTCTGTGCATCCCTCTCCTCTCCCCCTACCCCTACATCTCACTCTCTTCTCTCTGCCAGAATTAAAAAAAAAAAAAAAAAAAAGAAAAACCAGACAGGAACTTACTTTTCCCTTTGAGTCGTTTTGTAGCCTGAAGATATCTCTGACATCAGGAATCTGGTGCTGTTTGTTTTTTTTCCTCATGGTTTGCGTGACAGTCTCTACTCGCTTTTCTACCGCTGCCTTCTGGGTTCGGGTCAGTGTGGACAGAAACACCACACTTTCCAGGGAGTCGCCAGAGCTCTCGCCAAACAGATTTGACAGACCTGCCTCCTTCAACCATTCTTCTTCCAGTTCTCCCTCTAAGCAAGGCAAAGAGGAAAAGGCATAAATGTTGGCTTTCGAGTACTGTTAAGCACACTGGATGTTAATAACACGATCTAGTTGATGCAGTGCACAGGGAAGGTACCAAGGGGACCCACAATTAAGAACAATTACTTACACTATCATGACTTGGAGAAAAAGCTTTTGTTTCTAAAGAGCTTCAAAAGGTTTAACATATGATATCAAAGTTTTTAAAATACTTAATCCAATACAGATTGCTATGGGGCAATCTTTATTATCTACAGCACTTCTACTAAATCATATACCATTTTATAAATGTACCTAGATATAAATGTGTATGAGGAAGTTGGAAAGCCTCTGATCATTGCTGCTTCATTGATTTTTAGTTCAATCCTCAATCTTTTTAGCTCTTTTACTGACATGGTTCTGTCTACTTTTCTTGAAACATTAATCCTACAGCTCTCCACTAGCTCAATTTAATGAAGGACAAACCAGGCCACAGGAGTCACCTTACTGTTATTTTTTAATCAGTTCTTATGACATGGTCTCCAGCCTGCTGACAGCCCACAAAACAATCGTTGCTTTAGTCTTATAGCTCATAAGGTATCCTCTATTGACAGATCACTGCACATGAAAGAGGAGAAAGCTATTAAATACTGTCACTGATGGCAAAACTTCTACTTCTGAAATCAGCATCTTTCTCTAACGATACTTTCTTTAAAACACCAAGCTCTGTCTGTAGCAGCTGAACTTTTGCTGGATTCCAACAACCCTCTCAGACATTCAAGCAACATTTCCATTTATCAGATATCTAAAAGTACTCCAAAGGTGGCATGTTGGCTTCACTATTGACTGTAGTTTCCCAATAGTGTCCAGTGCACATCCAAGTGGGCTCTTGAATATTAACAACATTCATAAAACAAACACAAAATTTAAGTATGAATTTTGCTATTGCTATGCACCCAAAGCCTAAGCCTCTGACAAAGCTCTCAGATTTTGTTATTAGGGCTGTAAAGAAGAGTTACACCCATTCTCCAGAGAAGATTTGAGCAAGGTATATCTCACCTGTCCCCTGCCTTGCCTTTGCATGGCTGCATCTCAAGCAAGCCCCCCTGCCCAGGCAGGTCCATCAGCCACGTATAGTGTCCTGAACATTCAGCAGTACTTGTACCCAAGCAAGGTGCTACTCATTAGGCAAGGTGTGGGGCAGAGCAGTGTCTGCTCAAGCAGATCTGCTCAACTGAGGTGACTCACTTGGGCTTCATGCCAGAGTCAGCAGCTTGAGCTGGAGCAGCAGCTATGGGGAAGAAGGCTATATATATAAATAGAAAAGGAAATAGTGGGGTTTTGAGTGCAGAGCCTGAAGGTGTAGCAGCATCAGTAAACTGGGGTAAGAGAAGAGGCTCATGCACTGCAGAACAATGGGCTCCACTGGTCTGCAGAAAGCCTCGTGGCTCTCTCAGACACCCCGCTCCCTGGGGCATGCAGGCTTGGAGCCTTGCTGCTTTCTCCAGAGTCCATACCACTATCAGCTTCAGAGCACTTGTAAATAGTGGTGATGTTTCGAAACACATTCACATTCAAAAACTGCCTAGGGAGGAAGAAGCGCAAATCCCTTTGAAACCAAATGTAGCACATTCTTCTCACTCATGTAGAGGCCACACCAACGTGCAAAGATCGCCATTTTGATTTACCGAGACTGTGGGTCTCTTGTAAGAATGGGAGAGGGGCAGATACCCCACTGTTAAAAAATTTTTGAGAAAAGAGTGTAATTAAGGATGTGACTCCTCTTTTGTCTGTTAGGAAAAGAAAAACAAAGAAATTGCCCAACTTCTAAGATCATGCCCTCAGGAGTGGCCCATAATTGATGCTTCTGGGAAACAAAAATAATACAACTGAACAGTCACAATAGTTACAAGCATAGAAAGTTACTCACTAAACTTAAACCAGTTAATTGTTGCTTATCTTCTAAAGCATGAGGTTTCTATCCAACATAGCCACAATAATGAACAATATACACTAAGAGTGAAAGGGCACATTTTTTAACAGTAAACTGCAAATAAAGCTTTGATTGTTGTGATTTGCAAGTACAGGTACTTTTCTGATGTTCTGCAAATACCGTTTACTTTTCTGATGTTCTGCAAATACCGTTTAAAGGAAAACCAGACTCTTACTTATCTCCAATACAGGTTTCTTTCAAGGTTCTGACTGTTTCTGGTGATATGCATCAGAGGCAACAGAATTTTCAACAGTGGGTGTTCAGCAGAGTGACCTCCTTTTTGATTTAAGTTGTTTGGTGGGTGCCATCTCTTAAAATAAGACTTACAGAAAAATCTCTAATCAGCAAACTGATGATCATTCACAAGAACAGATTTCATTACCATCTGGCTCTTTCACTACAAGTGCTACTCGTTCCTCATGATTATTTCCTCTGGTTTCATGGATGTTTTCAAGTTCTTTCCAGTAGTCATCCATAGATAGTTCATCCAAGGAGTCCTGGGATGCTGAGCGGTCAAACGATGCTCCATCAGGGGTCTTCTTGGAATGGTCATGGTTCATTGTATACTGGCCAGACCGACGGCTAAAACACAAACCATAAAGCAATTCTTGGTTAGCATTTTAAGATACAGGATATATTAATATCTGTGAAGGCAGTTAATAATTAATTATGTCAAAGTATCACAGGAAACTACTGTCAAAAAGCAAATGAGGATATTAAAAATTAGTTTTAATATCTGGAATATATTTTTAATTCAACATTTCTGCTATACGCATCTCCCAATCTGGAATAGCACAGGAGTCTGTATTAATGAGGAAATAATGAATCCAAGTTACACCAAAACTCTAATTCAACTCACAACAATCAGTTCCATAAACTTTATGATACATATCTTCCTAACATCACTGTTCATAAAGAATTCTTCAAAAGTGCCTTTCTGCCTGAGTAAATTCTTATAGCTTGACAGTATCGCTCCTTTTTTCCTTTGCTACTCTGTTCTTATTTTTTATAAATGTTTAGTCTGGTATCTGTGACCTTAATTACAGCTGGGAAAGGACAAAGTAGAATTACTGAAGTTATAGTTTGTGAAGTAAAATAGTGAATACAAATGTTTAATAAAGGCCACTATTTGTTCCTATCTTGCTTCCTCTTTGACTGAAAGCTTACCATTTTTATAGTTCGATGTTATTAGGTTTTGGTTAACCCTGCCAAATGTGTGTTGCTAAGGATTTCAAAAGGGATCTTTCATCTTAAGTACAGCTGCAACTAGGAAAAAACAACAACAACAGCAACAACCAAGCTGAAACCTCTAGGTCTTATCTTGACCTCATTAAGTCATTGGCAAAAATTACCCCTAACCTTGCAAAGAATTCCTCTTAGAAAGTGCAAAAGTTATAGTGACGTCATTGAAGTTACAGGTCATCCTTAAAGTTGAATACACCAAAACAAAAGCCACAGACAGATTCTGAGTATCAGGAAGAGGCCATGGATTACATGAGTAGCAACCTGATCTAACTTGGCTCTCCCACTTTGAGCGGGAGGCAGATCAGACAAGACAATCTCCAGTGGTCCTTTCTAAACTAAGTTATTCTACTATTAAGACAGTATAACAAAATTCTTCCTTGTATCAAAAAAATAGCAAGTTCTTAACATATTAGGAACAGCTTCAGATATCTTTTATGTCTGAATTTGTCTCCATATTCTAGAAAAGGAGGCATGGTTTGGGGTTAAGTAATGAGTATAACTTATTCCGAGAGAAAAACATATCAAAGATCAAGCATTGTGGATTTATCACAACGTAAATGCAGTAAATTACTTTCCCAGTTGGCTCACTTTGCAAGTTTATCTAGAATTAAAAAAAAAGCACCTCATCCTTACATTTTATCTTGGGATAACTAATGCTTGTTAGCTGCCCCTAAGTAAAAAAGCCATACCTTTCTCTCTGAAGATAAGCCCCTTGCGTGTCCAAGTCAGAAATCCTTTCACACCATATGTGCTTGATCCTCTGATAAGACATACTAACTATATGGACTTTGCCTTTAAAGGTAAGTAGCTTTATGGAAGGACTATGAGTTTCCACCTGCCCTGCCTCTCTGCTCCAGGTACAAGTTAATAAATTACAATGAATTACCAAGCTAATATGCACCCCAACACTATTCCTTAACCTGCCGTTATTTAAAAGCCCAGGAAAAAAAATAAAGGAGTATTTATCTTCTGCACCAATGGCAATAACAACGCCTTGCTAGTAGTGCACGTTACCCAATAAATACTCCCGAGCTCCCTCGGTTCTTAAACTTCTCCTGACAGGCACATCGTGTGTGACCTGTGCTGCTTGTGAACCCAACACTAATCACTGCAGGAAGATGTTCATGGAGTCACATCAGAAGTGTCCCCAGCAGCTGATGTAGGTTCAGAGTGTGGATGAAGCCGGTTGGGTTTCCAGCCCTCACCCAGGCTTCCCTCCTCCTGTGGCTGGTGCTCTGCCCAGACTGAGTCCCTCTCACAAACAGGCTCCCGTACACTTGGAGTGCAGCCTGAGCGAGGTCAGAATTTCACCTTGTCATCCCTCAGTTTAACCCTGCGGAGCTGCTCATCAGGTCTTCGGAGGACTTTCACCTTTGGAACAACCTGCTCTCACTGACCCACCTCAGCTGAAATTTAACCACCGCAGCACACCATGCAGAAGATAAAACCAACGGATCGAATACATTAAAAGCACACACTCTGGGGAGCTCTGTCAGGCTGAGGTGGAATATTCTGCAGCAGGGAAATACATTTTTTAAAATAATTAATCCCACATTCACAGAAAGATTCATTTAAAAAAAAATCTTTTAAAAGTATTTTAAATATCCCATGTTGCAAGCTTTAAAATTTTGCAGAAGACTACTTTCCAAAAAAACTATTGGTAGGAAATAAGCACAGTTCATTACAAAAGAAAAGCTATTACTGTGGTTGCAGAAAACAGGTTACTTCTCCAGTATATTCTCAAATTTTTAGGTGCTTAGTTTTTCTATTTAAAATTTGAAAAATGCAGCTGCTTTTCATAAGCATCTTCAAGGAAATCTTTTCTCTTCCCCCAGAAAATGTAAGCTACTGCTAACAAACACAGTCACTTAAAGTAATTTTCAAACACTACTCATTTAGCATTTCAGACTACTAAATTACTAAGTTTACTCTCCAGCAGTTTTTTCCCTCAGAAAACTCCTATTTCCATTAAGGTCTTCACTAACAACACTCTCAAACTCTATTAAAATCTTATTAACATCTATTTCCAATCATTAATAAATAGTTTACTCTTCAAATAGCTTCACAGGGAGCAGTGCAATAATCTCATTTCCAAATAACAGTGTCAGTTCTGACTGCTGATAATCAGACACGTGCCCATTGCAGCCGATGAGATTTTTGCCTATTTATCTCAGTACAAAACTGAGCCCCGAGGTACAAAACTCATTCTTCAATACAGATATTGCAGTCTCTTACCAGACTTAATCTTGTCCCACCCACCAGAGATGCATTTATTTATTACAAACACCAAGGATGCGAGACAAAGCACTCCTGCTCTTCCAGAGGGGAGCCATTAAAAACAATTCTTCTAATGAACACCATTTGTTACATTCACAAGGAAGGAAACCAGATTTGGGTTATTTCACTAAGCATTGACGAGCTTCATGTTGTGGCAAGTACTTAAAGTGGAAGAACTGTGCACAAACATTTTTTTCAGCCTTTCCTTTTGTGACCAACTGTGTCCTTAGCCTGCAGGAAAACATGACTCTTCACATTAATCACCATTTTACACCATAATAAAAATGTGCTTTTTTTCAGGTTCTGTCAGCCTGGTTTTGATTTCATCAATACTCACTTTATTCCTTATTTTTTTCCCTGTAAAATCTGAATCTCCCCATCTGTTCCAGTGTCTTCTTAGCAGTTCATAACTGGTACTTGTCATGTGTAAACTACAGCAGCTAGAGATCAATCAGTAAGTAAGATGCACTTTCACTGACATTTCAGAAAAATTCAGTTCGCAGAAAGCTAATTTTGCCCTTACTTCCATTTTTATCACTCAAGAATTAAGGACTATGTTGTGTTTTAAAACAGTGAGTGATGAGAAAAATATAATATTTGTCATTTCTATAATGCTAGCCATGAATTTTGGATTGAATATAATCTTACTACATCACTGTACAAACATCACAATTGTATGGTATCCTTCCTTCTATATATATATGTGTATGCATGTATTAGATGTGCAAATATACTGAAAGGCAGAAATACTAAATGCAAGAATGTTCATGGCCATAAAAACTAGGGAATATGTTGAACCTAGCTGAACCAAACAGAATAGATTTAACACTGCTGAAAGAGAAGTGGAGTTCCTCTAACAGGATTATAGCAGGATTGCTCATTGACTCTGGGAAAGAACAAAGTCCAGCTACTAAATACTGTATAAACATAAAGCAAAAATATACTAGTCTCTATAATCTGTCATTTTCTTCCTGGAAAAAAATGCAAAAATGGATGAAACACAAGTGAAAGGGAGGAGTGGGAAACACCTTTTCTGCCTACAAATTAGGAATTTCTGTATAGGGTTCTGTTTTCCACCTTCTTTTGCCAAATTTTGGAATTAAAAGTTCAGGCCTGGATCTTTCCTGAATAAAAACTGTCACAACTATAAAAAGTGTCACCAGTGAAACAAGGGAAGAGGCCATCTGATTAATTACTAGGTTTAACCTCAGTTAGGATTCATCTCTTTGGGGTTAAACAAATAAGGTCTTTTTCCATAGCTGGCCAACAAAGCCTATGGGAGTCTTAAACATTGTCCTTAAATGTGTTCCAATTCAACATTCTACAAGACTAAAAGTTTCACAAGCATTTGTTTGTATCAGCCAATTTCCAACATCTAGAACAAGGCAAAAAAAAAAGTATTGCATTATCAAGTGAGACAATTACTTGCCAAACTGGACTATTACACCCTCTTCAGATGTACACTGAAAATACAATCCTCATACGCTTGGTCTTAAAAGTTTATTAAAGTAATCCTGACCACTAACCATTGTTATTGGGGTTCTTGTACACGCAGTGTCTTGAGCACTGCAGCCCCTTCAGAAACACTCTCTTGTACCCCAATAAACCAGTACTTTACTTCCAGAGTTACATAAACTGACAAAAACATATCTGACTACAGCTACATTACAGCAGCAACTTCTGAAATGCCCATGCAAAAGGGAGTCATGACTCCCAAAGTCAGTGTACATTTGGCCGTCTACGTAAAAGCTGTTATTAGTAGTATTGCAGCCATACCTCAGCTGACACTTGGGCTCACTGATTCTGAGTGCCACAGCAGCATGTGGTTAGATGTGTTAATAACCTGAGAAACAGACACACAAAGGCTGTGAGAGGGGAAAAAAACAGGGATGGGTATTTGGCCTGGAAAGGTAACACATGCTGTTCAAATTCATGGTGCAAATCAGTGACAGAAACAAGAATAATTCTCAGATCTCTGGAGTCTTTCACCACTGGACCACTGAGCATTAAAGATCAAGATCTGACCCAGAGCAAACTGCAAGGCAGATAAAAGGAAGTTC